GCATCGTAACTGCATCCTCCACCGAAAACGCAGATCTCTTTTGGGCTCTGCGAGGCGCTGGCAGCAGCTTTGGCGTGGTTACCCAATTCACCAGCAAGATATTCCCGCAGGGTGATATCTGGGGCGGCATGGCTTTCCTCCCTCCCACGGCTCTGCCTGCAGTGATCAAGTTTCTCAACCACTGGGGAGAGACAAACGACGGCACGCAAATCTTTCTCACGGGCTACACTTATGCTCCCCCTGGCCCAGACCCCAAAGCGCCCAGGCCCCTCGTTATCCTAGTTCAAATGGCACAGATTGGGCCTAACCCAGAGGACGATGGCCAGAAATATTTCGCTCCTATACTAGAGCTCGAGGCATTGATGAAGCAAGTTGGGCCTATGCCATATCCTATGATCAACCAGGGTGCAGATGAGGTCTTTGCAAAGGGTAGTAGATACCTGTTTGGTGGCGCCAATTTCACTCTTCCCATGGAGCTTTCCACCGCCGAATCAATCCGTGATAAATTCACGGGGTTTGTCGAGGACACGCCGGGTACCGAGGGCTCTGTTGTCATGATAGAGTGCATTCCCCAGAAAGCCATTCGAACGATCCCAGTTGAGTCAACATCCTTCAACTCACGAGGGAACTACTACAATGTTGGCATCAATTACAAGTGGATGGATGAGAGTCTTGATACCAAAATCCGCCAGTTCAATCGTGGATTCCAGAAGTCGATCCGCGAGCTTGGATACGACGACAAGACCTTGTCAGATGGCATTGGCCACTATCTGAACTATGTGAGTACTGAGACTATCTCAGCTGAAGAAGCATTTGGTTCAAACTCGAAGCGGCTGAGGGGGCTGAAGAAGCAGTATGATCCAGACAATGTATTTGACAAGCTGTGGAAACTGGTTGGCGAGGTTGAGGGTAATAACTGGATTGCCTGAGGGGCCAAAGGTGTATTATCTATCATTACATAAAGCCAACCAAGGCATCTTGCCACAGAAGTAGTCCTATTTTTTAGGAATGAATTTAACGGTAGCTTGGAAAATGATGTAGTTTTGTAGAATTGATGGGAGGTGAATCAAATAGAGATATGCCTAAGTTTCCTTGCCTCCCCTTGTATCGATATTAGCAGGCATACCTTAGAGAATAAGAAAATATTAGACTTTATTTGAAGATATTAAGATAAGCTAATTTCAAGATATCATAGACTTCGTAAAGACTTCCTAAGTTTATACCAATCTATTCATCTGCGTCTTTTCATCATTTAGGATTAAGGTCTTAAGGTTTCTTTCCTCCCCTGGACATGATCGTGCACCGTGCGAATTGATCAGCCTAGTTCCATCGCGTCGCGTCTCTCCAAGACACTTCGGCTTAGCATCTTCTCCTCAATCTCTATGCTCGTCTCTCGTAACACTCGACTCTCCTACCTTAGCCTATCATTGAAAGTCGCAATCGCGAAACAAGGCTTTTTCAAGTCTCTCGCTCTGTCCTCTCTTATAAAAGGACATCTTTCCACTGTGTCAAATTATATCAGCACTATGGCATCCGCTTTGAGCATTACCTCTACCAACAAGATCAGCCTTGAAGAGTTCAAGCGAGTTCTCAAGCAATACCCGGCTCTTATCAAAAGAGTGTCAGATGGAAAGGGTGGTAAGTGAGCGGAAAAGATATCAAGGATGCCACTTCATACGAATATCGGCTAATCAATATCAACCAATAGCCAAAGGTGGCCAGAGAACGCTGCAAGAACTGGACAATTATCGATACAACGATGCATTGGATGCCTTCAATTCTAGCGCGGAAAGTCGACCAATGAAGCTAGACGACATCAAGAACCTCGTAGAGTGGAAGTTGTGAGTCCAGGTCTACCCACATGTGCCAGAATCGTACATCGAGATGCCTGAGGTCAAAGCTGAAGCCATTTACTAATACAGATCAGACGCCATGGGAAGTTCAGGCCAACACTCATGAATCTGGTCTCATCTAATGATGCAAACGATGCTCAGGAAATTGTGAAGCAAGCTGTCAACGCTTACGAAAAGGATGCCGACATAGAAGCCGCCTTGGGTGTATTAACAAAGCTTCGAGGTATTGGCCCTGCAACTGCATCCTTGCTTTTGGCTGTTCATGATCCGACACGGGTCATCTTCTTTGCCGACGAGGCTTTCTGGTGGCTATGCTGCAATGGGAAGCAGAGCCCTATCAAGTATAACGCCAAAGAGTACCGTATGCTGTGCTCCAAAGTCGACGATCTACGGAACAGACTCGACGTGCAAGCGAGTGACGTGGAGAAAGTGGCCTATGTCTTGATGAAGCAACCGGCTCAGCCGGATCAATCCCATAATGTGGCACCACCGAAAGAGGCCAGACACATCACAGCGCCCGTGGCAGCGAAGAAGGAAAAGAAGAGAAAGGTTAATTCAAATGCCGAAATAGTAGAGGGTGCAACCCATGAACAACCGCCACTTCGTCGATCCAAACGTGTCAAAATCTAGTGCTTCAGCTTCAGTCGCAAGGGAAAACAAAACGACTCGAGTCACAGCGACAAAACTACAAAATTATTCTGCACGCATTCTTTGCAAAAGTGCAAAGAATGATGCTCAATTCAATACCACCATTTCAACCCGTATGCACGCTAGGTCCATGATACCAAGCTGTAAGACCAAACGGTTATACCTTACACCTAATCGTTTTGATAACACACCGCAACTCACCCTAATAAGCAGTCAAAACGACAGCCTCAGAGGACCGGGTATCCGGCCCGTATAGCGTGTGTATCCGAAGAATACCAAGCTCCCAACCGAAGAAATTCCGCATGACGACAATTCCTCACGATGAAATCAATGACTTAACGCTCAAAGAGGCCGTGGACAGTCACGCGCAGCGTTCAGACACGTTTGCGGACCATGTAAACGTGGTTATAAAACAACCATACTCCGCACTGGCACCCAGAATGTCAGGTTTCCCTTCCTCGGAGAAGATGCTTGAGCTCTCACCTTTGCCGTTCCAGTAGTGTCCCTCGATTGCCAATCTGTGATTCAGCTGGTGCGGGTGGTTTAGGATAGCTCAACGTTATCTTTTATTTCCACTACCTACAATCAACTTCTCAAAAGATCTCACCATGGCTCCAAAAGGTCACCGGCATGGCCCATCAAGTAGCATGTTTGCTCAGATTACTGAGCCCATACCTCTCCCTAATCGCTTTGCCCGAATCAAGAGAGATTTGGTCGAGGGTAAAGAATCTCAGATCAGGAGTTCCTGGATCAGACTGCTTGTCAAGTTGAACACTGAAATCGACATCATCGCCAAAGCCGGTTCGGATATCTACCCATCTATTGATTTTAACGATCTCAAAGACTCTTCAGTGGCAAATGACTTTTCTTCAAGACTCAAGGGGCGAGGTGTCGCTGTTATTCGGAACGTAGTTCCTCATGATCTGGCTGCGGAATGGAAGGCAGATACCGACGCTCACTTAGGAGACCTTCAGGCGCAACGATTGCCTACCCACGATCCGCATCTTTACGGGGTTTACTGGTCTCCTGGGCAGATCAAATCTCGAGCCCATCCGAACGTTCTCTATTCTCAACGTTTCCTAATGAATTTATGGCACTCGTCTGAGCCGGAAGCGCTTGTGAGCCCCAATTTCCCCATCAGCTATGCCGACCGCATGAGGGTCAGGAGACCTGAGGATGAGACATGTTCCCTCAGTGTATATGTTGACGGAGGAAGCGTGGAGCGTTGGGAGCCGGATGGCTATGGTTCAGCAGCGACCTATCAACCCATTTGGGATGGTCGTTGGGAGGATTGGGATCCATGGGAAAGCAGCACTCGACTGAAAGTGACAAGCGATTTATACAATGGTGACGGCTCTTGCAGCGTCTTTCGCATGTTTCAGGGCTGGGTAGCTTTGAGTGAAGTTCCTTTTGGCCATGGCACCCTTCTCTTGTGTCCCATGATTCGACTCACAACTGCATATCTTCTTCTGCGGCCCTTTTTTGTGCCTAAAGAATCCTCACCGGCAAGCCCAGACTTTCTTACGCCAGGGAACTGGATCCTTGAAGAGCCGCCGTCCTCTGTGATTCAAGGTGCGTTGCCGTCTTACCCACAGGAGCTCAATGATGCATTACATCCTCATCTACAGCTTCATCGGAGCATGATCCCCATACCAAAACTTGACCCTGGTGATTACCTTGTCTGGCACTGCGATACCGTCTACGCCCTTGATCGTCTCCGTCGCCCAGACATCCCTCCTACAACAATCATTTATCTTCCAGCCTGTCCATTAACTCAGACAAATGCCCTATATCTTGCTCATCAACGCAAGGGTTTTCTGCATGGGGAGGCTGGCCCCGACTTTACCGGAGCCCCTACGGGCGATGTCAATGTCGGAGGAGAGGAGGTCATTAGAGAGGTTGGTGAGGCAGGCGGTTTAGATGGCATGCGTGCAATGGGGTTATTGCCCTGGGATGAGGATGAAGCTCAAGATGACCTTGAGTACGCAGTATTGGAAATGGCAAATGGTGTATTATTTCCAGAAAAGTATGATGGGGCCTACTGATATAGTTGTCCGAATAAGGAAGAACAGTGCGAATTTGTAAGTTATTTGGTCGGACACATCGCATGGAATCGAGAACGGCATGGTGTTTGAATAGTGATATAGCAATTTGCATGCGAGACCTTGGTGATAACCCCTACACCTAGGCATCCATCATCCAGCATCCAACATCACGATTCTATACATAAAGAAATTCCTAATACAATCTCAAATGGTCGATCGTCCTGTCCGCGTCCGATCGCCAGCTTTGCGCCGGTGCTTAGCCCAGTAACCGTTATAACGCTATTTTACATCTTGCACTTCATTTGCCTCCAGGTCTGTTGCTGTTGTATATGCCCTGACAGGCTCAGACCGAGTCTCTTCTCTTCCGCCCAGGCAGGTCAACAATAGATCAGGTGCCGATATCCCTGGGTGGGCGGTCTCTTTTTCCTTTGGAGCGACATGAAACATACGCGCCTTAGATGCCCTTTCTGGATTCGCCAGTTTGTTGGGTAGCAGCGTACTTGTCGCTAAGCTCATCGTAGCTCTTGTGGAGCTGCTCGCTCTGCTTCTTCAGGGTCTTGAGGTCCTGATCTTTCTGCTCAAGCTCCTTTCGGAGACGGGCAAGCTCGCCGGGCTTGCCGGCAACGGCAAGCTTCTCAGCCTCCTTGGTATTGCTCTTAGTACCCTCGTAAGCGCGGACCTTGTCCTCCAGACGCATCACCTCGAGGATCATAACGTAGGTGCGGTTAAGGATGAGCGAAAGGAAGAGGGTGAAGCCGCAGAGGTACATGTTGCGCTGGGAGTAGAACTTGCGGGCTTGGACTTCGAGGCGCTCGTGGCCCATGACGGCGGCACTGCAATCGGTTAGTGACGTGCCCAATTGCTATGTCATGATTGCTTGGGGTAACATACCCTCCTCCCTGCTTGGACTGTTCGGAGGCGGCGGCGAGCTCGAGCTGGACGCGGTAGACACGGTTGACACTATCGATAAAGAGAATTAGGATAAAGACAAAGGTGATCTTCATCCAGTATTGAATCTTTGCGACAACCGGATTCTCGGAGATGAAGCTGTATGTCTTGTTAGCCGCTGGTAAAGACGCCTAAACCTCGTGTTTGACGCACGTGAAGATCTTGCGCTTAACGTTAAATGGCATGGGAACGATCAGGAGCATGAAAAGCGCCATCTCGAAGACGAGAAGCATGAAGACCTAATTGAATCAGTTAGAAACTCCATTGGCTACCTAGGTGATTGAATCTCTTGGCAAAGGTACAAGCAACGTACGAGAGTATAGTAGAGCGTCATTGTGACGGCGGTGACGAGGGGTGAACAAAAAGTGAGATATAGGAAGATTGAGAAGCTCAAAAGAGAGTGTGAAGAGAGATTCAGTCGTGGAGCGTTGTTGTGTTATGAGAAAGGGAGGAAAAGATTCGGTTGCGATGGTCTTCGTATTTGTATGTAAAGTGAAAAGAGAAACAATGACAAAGGTGGTCAGTTTGGACCTGAACCTGGCAGAGCTGGGAAAGCTGTCGTGCACCTGTTGTTCCTTCCCGCTTTTGAATCGACAACGTCATCGCTTGTGGCTGGAGCCTACTGGACGCTAATGGTGGGATGTGGGGCATCGTCACCGAAGCTGAAGGATTTAGTGGCCTAAGTGGCCCCCCAGGGAGCAAGAAAGCATTATGGATGCCTTGAGAGAGGGGTCAAAATAAACTTAGCAAAGAGTCCCATAAGTTTAGGCTAGGCTTGCCTAAGTATTTTCATCGCTTAGGGTCAAGGTCCTCAGTTTTCTTTTCTCCCCTTCGTGGCTTACATCTGCACACACAAAAAGGGCACTAGTGCAGATCTATTTAATGAATTATGAAGACATAACTATTGATAGAGGTGGATGTTCTTTCATAAAGATGATATCAAAGCATTCTGTCTTGAATAGTCGAAACATTGTACGTAAGGTACCGAGTCAATTAGGAGCATCCATTCGGTATACCTTTTACACCCATAACGTGAAACACCAAAGCCGATTGCGTCCTTGAGACTCATATATTCTGTAATACTACTCTACTGCAACAACTGTCTTCCAACTAATACCAAGCCTTTCAACCAAACCCAGAAATTTCCATCCTAGTTTGTGCAAGACTGTATATTTGTGATGTCCCCATTATCTTACAATGAAGCCAAACCACCTAGGAAGCCCTCTCTATATTATTGACTCCCGCCTAACCAGTCTCCGTCATCTCTTAATTTGGCTGTTGGGCGCCGGTTTCTAACACCTCGATCCACGCGCGACCGTACAACCACGTCTTGGTCCTCGTCGTCGTCGTCATCATTGTCCTCCTCTAGTTGGCTCTGGAGCAGCCTGGATTCTTCAGTGCGTTCCTCTGAAAAAGTGATATATTCCATGCTGTCGTTGATTTCCATTGGCTGTGGCCGTTGCAGTGCAGTAGGCACGATGGTATCTGCAGCCACGATCTGGCGTTCTTCTGGGTCCTCTCGATCTTGCGATTCCGAAGCTGAAGGGTGCTCCATCATCGGAGCTGAAGTCAGCTTTCGTGGATACTTCCTCGGCCGACCACTTCCTGGTCTGGCGCCTCCTCTTTTGCCGCGTGTTTTTAGGTCTCCTCGTGGTTTGCCATTATGGCTCGACGCTCCTCCCTTGCCATCTTGTCGCGCTCGTTTTCGTAGTCTTGCTGCTGAATTTCCAAAATCCGAATCTCCATCTGAAGGTGTTTCCATGATAGAGGCATCGGTGCCAGTCGGGTGATACTCTTCTTCTTCTGAGTCTTCCTCGAATGGGCCCTTCTTACGCTTACGTAAAGGCTTTGGAGCGAAACCAAGCGTATCCACCAGCATATCGTCTTCATCGAGAACTGCTTGAGCACGTTTCTTTCCCTTTCCGGGCTTCTTCTTATCCGTCTTTGGATTCTTCCTTGCGACCCCTTCTCCGTTGGGCCGCCGCGATCGTTTTTTACCCTGGTCAGACTTCCCTCCCACCTTATGGTCGAGTAGCTTCTTTGTCAGGTTGGGGAAGTTTTCGCCATAATTGAAGAACAATTCCTCTCCGGCTTTGATATCACGCATGGCTGTAAACTTGATGCGGTATTCGCCATTGACGTAGAGGATTCGTGGGGTGATATTGCATCCGCGCTTATCGCTCTCTGATGCGTGGTTGATGTAGCGACTCAAATTACCATAGGTCGCAGCGTCGACCCAAATACCTTCGTTGTCTAACAGAGTAAAGACGTACGAAATGTTTGATTCTTCGTCGAACACGTCGCCACGTCTGGCTTCTCGTCGCACTCCTTCGTCGTGTGTGATCAGTTCACCTACATATTCGATGATGAAATCGTCCTGTGAAATATCTTCGATAGTGAATAACCCATACCCGACTCCCTCAAGTTGACTCTCCCCCAGAGCGAGGCTCTTCGCCTGGCCCCGCTGCAGCGAGCAGTTTTGACAGCCGGTAGAATGAAGAACTTCATCATCAGCGTTCTCAGGATCGGCTCTCTCAACCACCCCACATCGACCACAAACATCTGGATCGCATTCGCGGTTCAGCTGCACACAAATACATGGCCTTTCCTTTCCTTTTGAGAGGCAGGTTTTGCCTTGTGAGTGGCAGGCACAGCCTGTGAATTTGTAGGCGCAGTTTTCCACGGTACAGCCGCAGAATTTCTCGCATAGGACACCATGCTGAACGCAAATACAGCTTTCGGAGGTACAAGGCCCTTCATGATTACAAGGTTCGGAGAGTTCGCGTTTTTGATGTTCGTGGGTTTTAGTGTGAGATTCCCAGTCGCCGATGAGCGTCTTTTTGAAACGATCATACCAGCTGACGGTCCGAATTTGAGCTCTGTTAGCTGGCTCTACTGGAGACATGGACACATTCAGCTTTTGAAATTCATTAAATACGTCGCTGCAATCCCGGTCAAGGAGCTGGGCAACCAAGCAGAAGGGATCTTTCGTAACCTTGCTGCGGTCGGCGGTCGCAACCGTAGATCGTAGGATAAAATGATCCTCTTCATCCCAGGGCCTCTGCGTTGAGGCAGCAACAGGCCGAGGCGAGCTTCGATAGCAGTTACGTTTGCAGAGCGGGGACAAGGGGCCATTGCCATTAACCGCATCACCTGCACTGTAGGGGAGGCGACGTCGCCGCTTAAGAGTATCCGAAAGACGGGGAAGAATCGAAAGGGTGCGCTTGCAATTCTGGGCATCGTATTCGCCGTGCTCACATGAATGACTGAAGCAGATAAGGCAACCAAGAATTGAATAAGTTCCCAGCCAATACTCGACAGCATCATGCTCGTTTTCGTGCTGTGTGCTGGAGCCATCCTTGGCTGTGGGCTTGGTTTCCATGATGCTGTCGACCGACTCATCCAAAAGCAAGACATCGCGGAGCTCAATCTGCTTGGTCGGGGGCTGGCCCTGATGAAAGACACGGCGGAATGCTTCCGTGAACATGTGGGCGGCTTTGTTTGCCTCGGGTGGTGTGGTGGACTCGGCAGGGCGATGTGAGTTGAGAATGTCTGATTTTTGTCGGGGCGTGATCGCGTCGTCAGGTTCTCGACTTGCCATGAAGCGAATGAGAGCTGATCTGCTACAGCCAGGTATTGAGAGCTTGTCGAGCCAAGTGCCTAGATATAACAAGACAGTCGATGCAAATTCGGACCGCACTGCTATGCGCACTTTCTCCTCGCGACTCATGGGCTTAAAACCAGATTTGCGATCAATATCCTCCAATTCTTGCAACCAAACATTGTATTTGTACTCCTCTGAGGTCTCAAGATCCCTCAAGTGGGGTACAAAGGTTAGCATTGTGTTGGGTGTAAGAATATTCTTTTTGATTTCCACGTGATGAAAGCGGTATCTTGGGACACGCTCTTCATCTGTCTGGATGCGTACGATGCTGTAGTGATCCTCACGTTTGTTGTTCTTAAGCTTCGTGTGTTCCTGTTTAGAACATTAGCAGAATTCTCCCGGACTCGTTTGGGACCCAAAGTACTTTGGATTTGATTCTCATCGTTTCTCCCTTCTTGGACGCGACAGGCTTATTAATAAGTCCGGCGAAGAGGTTTTTGCCTGTCATGACACGACGTTCATTAGGCTTGGTAGACTCAATGATATAAGAGGTCATGCGACTGTGTCCATCCTTGATATCTTGGCGAAACTGTGTGAGCTTCTCGACAACAGCAGCGACATCCCATTCCTGCTTTTTAGGCGTTTGATATTTAGGAGATGCCGGTTTGCTCTGTTGCGCTGATTTTGAACCGTCTTTTTCAGGCGTGGGCGTCACCTGACGGGATGCCAAGTTGGAGGCTGTAACACTAGACAGCTTTGCCATGCTTTGGGCGTCATCAGAATTAGCCGTTATCGTGGTCACCTTCTGGCTCAGTTTGAGTACTGAAGATGCTGGGCGTGGCGGTTCAGCAGAAGCGGAGGGCTGTTTATCCTGGCTGGCGGCGATAGAGCTCGTAGATCTATTCAACCTGGGCGGGCTGACGGGGGCGTTTGTTGATGATGGGCGCTCACTTGAGATAGAAAAATTGGGTGTGAAGCGCGCTGTGGTAGTGTTGTTGCGATTCACTGGTCCCAGAGAATGTGGTTCGTAGTCTGAATCACTGTCTCCTGTCAAGTCGATGGTGTCAGGTTTTCCTGCAACGATGGCGACGAGATGATGAGAGGCCATGGTTGCGGCTGGTGACTTTGCCTCAAACTCTAAGGCAAGGTACATCCGCCTGTATTGGTAAGGAAGGCGAACTGCCAAAGGTTTTTACCAGAATTGCCCCTCTCTATAGGTAGCCAGCGACTGCTACCATCCTGCACAAGAGGAGTCGCTGATGGACACCAAAAAAAGGGGGAAGAGAAAGGAAGATAGGTAAGGGCTGCAATTCGTGCTGATGTTGCTGTGGAGAGCACCTTTGTAGATAGTAAATGAGAGGTGAGAAGGAGACACGGGTTTGTCGACCCAGTCAGAGACGCGTGTGGACAGATTAAAGGTGCAAATTCGGCAGAAAATAGGAGCGAATGGCGCAGAATAGGCCGAAGAAACCAAAGAAACTGAATACCAGAGAGTAAGATAACGGTATCATGTACGACGGATTTGTACAAAAGATACGAGTGCCATCGATTGTCGGTTTGTTGTCTCTCGAAACTCAAACCAAGACAGAGATGAATAATTAGTTGAATGGGTGAATGAGTGTCAATTGCACGCGTTGAGGAGTCTACAGGGGATATTGACAGGGGGTCGCGTTCATTAATCCGGCTTAGCGTGGCTGGACTGGTCATTACCTCCACTCTAGGTAGGCTTAAAGGTAAGGTGGAGGGCGAATTAACATCATGCATGCATATCTGTTCCCTCTATAAAAGCGTCATGGCACTGTTTTGTGGTGATTATAGATTCCATCCTGCTCACATATGAGTTTGATAAGTATCCCTCTAATATAGTCGCTGATAATGCATCGAGGCTACTCAAGCATCCATGGTCCATGATAAATGCTAGATATACTGTGCTCTAGCCATAGCTATCGTGGAACATCCAAGCTGAAAAGGGTCATAGATAACATCATACAAAATCAAACTGTCTGTATACATAAGTAATTTGATCTTACAGGCATATTTTTTAGTTTTCTCCTTTCCAAAGAATTTTGATATATCTTGGAAGTGACAGGCTGCCTCACGTGAGGATCACTATAGTCAGGTTTGTGATTTATCGGAATGGCCGGATGCTTTTCAACTGCGATCGAACTGGTCACTAGTTAAAAAAACGAGCAAAAGTCGGCTTAATTAAGATAGAAATTATTGTCTTCCATTGCTCCGGTAGTTTAACAACATATATGCCGGGACTTTTTGAACTTTTGATAACCAAGGACATCCAATCTCTTTGTGTCCTATTCACTCTAATACAAATATCGGACTTGGAATCATTTACACTGCGCAGCCTAGCAGCCTCGTCAGCTCAGTCCATACTGCTTCGAGAAATTGCTGTCAACTTCGGAAAGACCCTGTTTCACAAAACGACTGACATCAACAATATCGGAACTAACCCAACCACAACATGTGAAAAAGGCCCTCGCGGTGATTCGATTTCTAGGCTGCCTCAATTATCCCTTGTCTCCTTTATCTTTCGGGCTGGAGACTGCCGGAGGATCGCTCAGTTTTAGAGCCCGTTCACCCACCCACTGACCTCCCAAAGACCCCAAACTTGTGCCTCGATATCGTCATATTTCATCTTAGACACTCACTAGCGTTGCGCTGGATTCGACCGAAGCTTGGTGGTTGTGAACCGCATCCGGGATGGGCAGTCCAGTTCTTGGGGGGCCTGGGGGGTCTCTCTCTCCGGATGCACAGGTGAGGATCCTTGGCGGAGGCCGGTAGAATGCAAGACGTAGACCTGAGACAGGCTTGACGTAAGTAGCAGTACCTCGAGTAATGCTGCGATCACCAGGGGCTGCGGTGTATACATACACTAAATGCTAGCGCCCGTCTGTATCGAAGACCTCACTCAGTCGTTCTTGTCCAAGTGGAGTCTTGATGACGTCGCTCTCAGCTCCCGCATCGAAAAAGGTGACGATCTTGGTTCTCCGCAGCAACAAACACCACCAGAGCCCAAGCCCTGTTTCTGGCCTCCATCATATAACGTTCCCAGCAGCCCGGCCACGATCTTCTCCTTCGTGTTTTCTCCGACATCTTATCCTTGCTTGATTCTCAGCTCTGCAGCTGTGATCTCCGTCTCCGTCTGCTACCCACGTTAATCCCCACCTGATATTATTTATTCCCTGCCTGTCCTTGCTGGACCCTTTTCTTGTCATCCATACTCAACTCCACCGCTCGTCGTCGCATTCATAAACAACAGCATTCATCATGCATCGCACCTATTCCATGCGCCAGACTCGGGCGCCTACTGCCTCTCAGCTCCAGGTGCGTTTAATTCAAGCTTATGACGCCACAACTCAGTGCGACAGCAAAACTGACCTTGAGCAGAACCCCCCGCCACCTCCGTCGTCGACAAAATCCGGCCGCCTCTTCAAGAGCAGCTTCGGTAAGCTAGCATCACGCCACTTCAACTGTCAATTCCAACAGAGCTAACAATATCTTCCGTGCAGGACATGCCCTTCGTCGCAATGCTGGCGGTGCCTTTGGCCCGGACTTGGCCAAGAAACTGTCCCAGCTGGTCAAGATGGAGAAAAATGTGATGCGAAGCTTAGAGACCGTTGCCCGCGAGCGAATGGAAGTTGCTGTATGTTCCAAATACCCCAATCTCATGAGCCATTCAAACTAACTTGGCAGCAACAACTATCCATTTGGGGAGAGGCTGGTGATGAAGATGTTTCCGACGTTACCGACAAGCTCGGTGTCCTTCTTTACGAGATCGGCGAGCTTGAGGACCAATATGTCGACCGTTACGACCAGTACAGGGTCACTATGAAGAGTATCCGCAACATTGAAGCTTCAGTTCAGCCAAGCCGTGACCGTAAGTACCACTCACCACCTAGACAACGTATTGTCTACTAACCCCACCTTAGGTAAACAGAAGATCACTGATCAGATCGCCCAACTCAAGTACAAGGAGCCCAACTCTCCCAAGATTGTCGTCCTCGAACAGGAACTTGTCCGAGCGGAGGCCGAGTCTCTTGTTGCTGAGGCTCAGCTTTCCAACATCACTCGAGAGAAGGTGAAGGCAGCCTATACCTACCAATTCGATGCTCTCCGTGAGCATTGTGAGAAGGTTGCCATTATTGCAGGCTATGGAAAGCACCTCCTCGAGCTTATCGATGACACCCCGGTCACTCCCGGCGAGACCCGTCAGGCCTACGATGGTTATGAAGCTAGTAAGGCCATTATTCAAGACTGCGAAGACGCCCTGACGAACTGGGTTACTTCCAACGCTGTCGTTTCTTCCAAACTCTCTACCCGTGCCCGCACTCTGTCTCAGCGACGTCGTAACAACATCCGCAACCGAGGTGAGGGCCACGACCTCTCCGGTCAAGATGTGCCCTTGAACGACGGTAGTTCCTGGACTGCTCGGGATCGTGATCTCGACAGCGATGAGGAAGAGGAAGAGGAGGATGCCCGAGGCTCCATTCTGGACAGCGATGGCGGCCTGAACGGCGAGTCTCGTGGGCGCACACAGGAAGCTGTTGCCGCATAGAACGTGCTCATGATCGAAGTGGCAAAGTACTGAAATCAGGCTATGTGAAGGAGGACGAGCGTGTGTCTCGCTTTCCTCGCGTTCGGTAGTAATGATGGGAACGCAATCTTGGTTGTACAAGGCGTTCTGGGTAGCTTTAGGCTGGGCGGGTTGCAAAAGGCTGAATGGGTACGATAACTTTCTTTTGCGGTAGCCTTGTTGTACTATTAATTCATTAATGTTATCTCTGTATCCGCTCCCCACAGAATCACCAGAGCTTGACATAACGTCGGATACAGGGAAACCGGCCACCCCCAGAAACCGGCCACCCGCTTTTCAACCCAACCACCCAATTTATAATATCTTAATTAATTCATAACTCCATCAATTTTAATTATACAGACTTATAAATAGTATTAATTAATTTAGAATAATAAAATTTACTAAAAAAGACATATATACCACTCTTTAGATAGTTTTAAAAGGGGTTTCTATAAATAAAGCTATAGTAGCTTATAGTATAAACCGTTTAATACTCTAAGCCTATATTAAAGGGGCCACAACACTAAAAGAAGCTTATAAACTTAAATAAAAGCTCTTAGCTATTTAGGAAAGAAGTCTAAGAAATTAAATCATAGTCTAAGCTAACCTAGGATATCCTATATCATACTAACAGATCTAACACTTTATAAGCCAGATTACAATATATAATAGCTTCCCAGAAGGCATTAGAAAACACTAATTAGAGGCTTTTCTAAATAGGAATAAAAAAGTAAAGACTTTACCTAGCAAGCATATAGATTCCAAGAGGTTTAATAGAGCTTCTACTAAACTTATTAAGGCCTTCTTTATATTATTATTAATACCTACAATTTAAATAATTAAGCAGAAAAATAGATATAACATCAATAAAGTTAAAATAATAGAAAGGATAGGACTAAACGGTCTATTCCTTAGGTTAAAAGATAAGAAGTTAGTACTTATTTATTAGCCTAGTTTAAGGTCTTAGATTATAATCCTTAAGTATATCTTAGTAACAGGGAAAGTCCTAAGACTTTTAATAATCTTTAAAGGGAAAACAGTCTAATAATAGTATTTTCTAGAGAATTTAGATTTCTTAAAAGCCTAGGAATTTACTAATAATAAGAAAGGCTAGATAAATAACCATATAGCACTTATTTAGCTTAAAATAGTATTTATTCTATTAATAAAGCCTAAGAACCTAAAAAAACCCTATCTTCTTATCTTTAATAGTTATAGAAGTTATATAACTAAAGACTTCTTATTTAAGTATTATAATAATAATATATTTATACTTTTCCTTCTAGTACACTTTTTTTATATCCTTTAGCTACTAGATATTATAGTCTTTAGACTGTTAAAGAGGGTATATAGAAAATTCCTCTTAGATCTTACTTCTATTACTAATTTAAGCTATATTAGTAAGATTACCTTCTTATATACTTATAATAAAGCTTAGAAAGAAGCTATTATAAAGTCAAATACTGTTAAGACCTGACTTTATAAAAAGGTCTTATTATATAACTAAGGAATATATTATGTTCTAGATGACTAATCAGGGCAAAATATATACCATAATAATAAGAAAATTTAGAGCTTTTAATTAGTATGCTTACCTAAGCAAAATATAGAGATTTAAGCTAGTCCCACATATTAAAG